CACACTCTCTCTGCCAGATTTAAAAAGGGCTGTCCATTTTTTCACAGTGGTGTACGAAGGAGCAGACTCTCCCAAAACTTCATCCATGTCAGCTTTGATTTGAGATGGGGTCAACCCTTTTTTCGTCAGGTATTTTATGACCGCACGAGTCTCCGTCTTCTCCATTTTTGACAAAGCATGTGCACACTGACTATCTGCTAAGCTGTTGTGGCAAAACTTTTTGACAAATCAAGCGGAAATTGGTATCGTATTTTTAGCAAAGATGGCTGAATTATTCCCGCCAAAAATTAAATTGATCGCAGCGCCGCATATAGGCAAGGCCGCAAACTTTCCGAACAGCCCTCGTACATGTAACAAGGGATGGAAAAAGCACTTTAATATGGCTATATAAATATTTTGTCAAATTTTTTATTTATATATTTCTAAGTGTATATAAATAAAACATTTTTAAGTAATGTATTTTTCTTTATTGCAGTATTAGTTACTCAACAGTCTAATGATGAAAAAATTGTGGAATTTGATAAAGCTATTAATTATTTTCAATCAAGATTAGGACTGAAATTGAAAAGCACGGAAGGTGATTATTTGTTAATACTTCTTTCAAATTTAACTTTTGATTGTGTAATATTTACTGCATTTTATAAGAAAAGATTTAGCTACAAGATATTGCAAAAAATAACAATAAAACAAATAAATTTAGAGTTTATTTACTAATTTAAATAAAAAGAAAAAGTAAAGCAAAAACTTAAAACATCTTAAAAAAGAAGAAAATCTGATAATCTAATGTAAATTATTTCAATCATCAAAATTGATACTTGATAACAGTTAGATATATTGTACATTAATTACATTGAGATTAGTTTATAATTAGTTGATGTAAAGATTAAAATGTGCTTACATTTAAAAAATTCTCATGGTATAAATGCTAATTAACTTAACTGAAAATACAAATTAATTCTACAAAATGGAATTACTTAAAAAGAACTATAAAATTTATGATAATTTCAATTGTATCTAATATAGGGTATTTAATGCATATTAATATTGTTAAATGAGAAGAAAATGAAATAATGTATTAACATGGATATACATGCAGTTTATTAATATAAAATAAAATTTTAAAAAAAGGAAAAGGAAATCAAAAAGTAATCTTGTTTCCAGTGCTTTCACTTTTTGTCATCTAAAGTATTGATAGCAGGAATACGGAATTTGAATATGTATAATTTAAATTTGATTTATAATAAAATTCTAATATAATTTGAACAGTAGTATATAATTTTAATAATAATAATAATATTGCTTATTTTAAATTGCATTACTATTTTTAAAAATTAACATTATGGATAAATTTAAAATTGAAAAGCAATTACTATATTACTATTTATATACGTACAGTACATTGTCTACATTTGTACACTGTTTATTTTTACTGAGGGTGAATTGATGGATTTAATCATTTTATTTCTACAGTTTTTTATATAATAGTTGTTAATGATGCATTTGCATTAAAATGTAAATTAACTCTATCCATTCTTGTTGAAACTTTTTTCAACATTAATTTGGCTAATTTTGTATTGACTTTTATATTTGATGTTGTTGTTCAGAAGAATGTTTCAAATTCCATTGTATCTTTTAAATTACTTTTCAACCTAAAGATAATAAATTAAATTTTTCAAAAATGTTCATTTTCTTTAAATTAACATTATACTGCTGGTTTGGTGAGTGTTTTAATAGTAATATTAACCAAGTTCTTAGTTGTTACAAGTTCTCTTTGTATATAACACCCATTCTCCATCAGGATTAATTAAAAGTATGCTAAGCTTCCCATTTTTATGAAGGATGTTCAGGCCTCGGAGTCGCTCACTTTTCTCACTTGTACTCACTTTTCTGAAGTATCCTCACTTTTTCGGTCATTTCCACGTGCTTAAAAATTAGGAAGATGTGGGACCAATCAAAAATAGTTTTAAAGCCAGACGATCTGCCGAACTATCGGACTAGAATTTTATGGAAAAAATACTCCGCCCAAGGGGGACTCAAAATCGCAACTGCTGCTCAGTGTTGTTAAGCTTTCGTCTGTATTTATACGTAACTAGGTAGTCAGTTAACCAAAACAAAAAAATAATAATTAAATTTTAAAATATTTAACTTAAATTTAAAATTAAATTAAAATTTTAAAATTCTGTTTTTTATATCAAAATAAAAACCGAAATCGTAGCTAAAATTAAAAATAAAATCAAAATTAATTAATGTAAATTAAAATTGAAATGAAATCAATTGAAACATATTATTTGGGAAGGTGCGGATAAAGTACTTGTCGATCTTGATTAATTTGGTTAGGTCTATATTTCATGCAGGCAGAGTTGAGAGTCTATTTATAGCACTTATTTGTAAAGGGTTAGTTTCGGTTTC